ACACACACACACACACACACACACACACACAGACACACAATGAGTGACAGACGTAACTCAGCCACGCCTGCTTCCAGTCACTGATCAGCTGATTAGACAGAATGTGAATTAAACAGGAATCTATCCTGAGGTCACTTCCTGTAGTGTAACCACACAGAGCAGGAACAGCGGCCTGTGTGGGGACTATTTTCAGCGGTGGATGAACCTGGCCGTGCTGCTGCAGGTTTGGCCAGAGGGGCCGATGGCACGATATGGCAGCCTCGCTTCTGTCAGTCTGCCCCAGGGCAGCTGTAGCTACAACTGTAGCTTGCCTTCACCAGTGTATGAATGTGAGAGTGACTGAATAGTGGCATTGTAAAGCGCTTTGGGTGCCTTGAAAAGCGCTATATAAATCCAATCCATTATTATTAAGACTCACGGTGAAGCTGTTGTTGACGTTTTTGGTGCTGGACTCGGCCACGCTGGCGTCCGTCAGGTCGACTTCGTCAAAGATGATGGACTGCAGACACACAGAAAAGGTTATGCTCACGCGTGCGTCCTCAGAACACAGCCCAGCAACTGAGCGGCAGGGTGGTCACCTTGGCGGTCTGAGCGTAGTACAGTGTCCTCCCTCTCAGCTTGAAGTATCGCCGCTTCCAGCGCTGGAACGAGCTCGTCTGTTTCAGCAGGTTCCCCTCCTTCAGCACAGTCTGAAACACACACACACACACCTGTGAGCACAGATTTCTTCTTTCTCAAGCTGAAAGTGTGTAAATCTTGTGTAAAGATGGAGGCTGTCCGCTGCACAGTTTTAAATAAAGTTGGAAGTGTTTGAATGTTTCTGGCGGCTGAGGCGTGGGACAGCAGGAAACAGTGGAGTGGAGCTTCCTGTCAGAGTCCCACATGACTCAATCTCAATGTTTGTCCCATACTCTAAATAGAACCCATGTTCGTCCTGTTCTTCCATTTGCTGCTGCGGGAAATTCCAGACTTCACTGCATGAGCAGGCATTAAACCTGTGATTTATCTCCTCGTTCCCGTGCTTTTATTTTGAAAAGTTAAAAAACTCAGTCTTTTATGTCTGTCAGAATTATTATTGACATTATTCTAATTTTCTCTCATTTTCAGTGTTTGAAGAGATTTGTGTCGTGTCCAAATTCCTGGGCTGCTTCCTCCTGAGGCCGCATTTGTAGACCGATTACGTCACAGCGACGCGCCGAAGGCT